CTGGGGGGCTAAGAGTCGGGCTGAATCGCTCCTTCCTAATGTGGGCTTTATGAGGCTCACTGGCGTGAGATCTGAGTCGCCCTTGCGGAAGCCTGACGCCTGCGATGGACACCAGGTCGCGTGTGACGAGCGTAGGCGGGTGTTTAGTTCTGTCAGACTCCGCGGTCGAGCCCGTCGCCGCTCATCTTGACGTCGTCTTGTCATTGGGTGAGGCAAAAGTGAGTGCGGTAGATGCTGGGGCAAGTCTATCTCATAATAAATTGATTCACGCGCAAGTTGCCGGTGCTGTACGCACTCTGTGAGACGCTCGGACGACGTCGAAACTTGCGAGGATTGAACAATGAAGCCTTGGAAACTTTTGTACCGGTATGCTGCTTTATGAACTGAATCACATAGGAATAACTTGCATATAAGTCAGCATGTATTCTAATATAATAACTTTGAGCCGTCAACAACCTTTGGGTCGACCGCAGTTCACGTCGCCTCCTGCGCCGAATAACTTTGAACCAGAGTGCTAAAGATGCTACGTCCTTCGGTACTCGAATAGGACGAAAGTCACACGCGGAAGCAAAAGTTGTAATTTTAGAGACGACGGTGACAATAGAATGCATTACTTGAGGCCCATCCTCCTGATTAAGCCCCCTCACACATACCCCGCCGTCACAGAGCTGTGAATTTAATTTTTGTTTTCACAGCTGGGTCAATATGAATTTTTGTTATCTCTAAAATGCTCAAACTCTGTGCGGCAAATTAATTTTTCAGATTTTAAATAGAGGAGTAGAAATCTACTTTTATCCTATTTGAGACTCCTTTTGATTTATTTTTTAAGATATTCAAATGAGAGAAAATTGTTAAATCGTCTCGTTTATAACCCCATCATTCACTTATTTTAAAGTCAATGTACTCCGATCTTAATGCCAAAAACAACGTTTAGTATAAGGCTGCGTCTGTCCTTATTTCCTTGACTCGTTGACGTTGCGACATTCAGATGCGATACTTTTCAGTACTCGCTATGACATACCTAAATATGAGCTTTGCAATAAATAGAACCGTCCGTTATTCATTTCGCAGTGAACCGATACCTGTTATTGCTACAACAACAGTTCACAAGTCCTATGGAGTCAGTAAGTTTTGCATATTCATTTATCTTGAACTTGTTTAAAATGCTTTCAGAAAGACAGTTTTCAGGTTTGGAATAGAAATGCTGACATTTCTTATTCCAGTTGAGATTGTGATTGGTCGGATTCTGAAGACCGTCAGTTGGGAGGCAAACTACCTAGAAACAAAAGCTATGAAACCCTCATCGCTTGTTTATCATGCAATTGTAGTTCGCTATTTATGTCAGCATTTTCAACTTTAGGATAAAGCGTGACACCTGTTTTAATATTTTTGAAGATTTAGAAGACCAATGACAAGCATATGTGTTTTCGATAAAATCTCATGGTGCCACTACATTTATATGGGAATGGGATACAAGAAAAGCATGCGAGAAATGAGGAAAATCGACTCTAGTTCGTCTTTTCATACAAATGGGGTGTGGGAACAGGAGGAGGGAAGACATAAGAGAGTGTGTTAGGAGACAGTGAGGATCAGGGGTATGGAGAGAGGGCGCGGAGGAGTTCATGCGGTTAACCGACTTTTAGGGACGGTGGGCGCGGAACTTGTATCAGGTTCTCCTGCGCTCACAAGATCGACTTTCGTTTCACGATGACGATTGCCCTGGCTTTTGCTAGCAGACACTGACTCAGGAGCTTGGGGTAGTTCGACGTGAATATTACGCAAAAGATGTCACTGGCGTCCACACAATGATTGGAATCAACGATTCGGGCGATAATGGCGTCTTCTATGCTTGTAATTTCGCCTTTTCCCAACTATTCCAGCAGATGTTCACGGGCTTTTTGAATAGGCGACAACTCGTGCGAATTATGAAACCTGCCCCCCCACAGGAGCAAGCAAAGGGGTAAATAGACATGAAGCCAATGTGAGCTGACAAAATCTCCCTAACTTCCCCGTCTAAAAACGGTCTTGGTCGGGAATGATACACGAACTCTTGTTGTTGGAGAAGTTCGCAGAACAACCTGGTCGAGGCGTGTCCTCAGGAGTTTATTCGTTCGTTCTTTTGAAAAGAGAGACTGAGGGACAGAGTTTTACTTTTTCTCTTTTTATGGGAAAGTTGGAGAAGTTTCAACTAAGCGACCAGATTCATAGGCCGAGACGTTACAGTCGCTACGTTGGGGAGATCTTCGCAACCGCCACTACAAAAACCAACACAGATGTTGTAAATCAGGCACATCCGTCGTTCACGTTTTTGCTGAAGGTGCAAACGGCAGGTTCGCTCTCCTTCTTAGACATCCTTCTTGGCAGAAGATCTGTCAGTAGCATTAAAAGCACCGTATATCGAAAGAAATCTTGGTCTGAACAATATATCGAATTCCGTACTTTCGAACCGCTCAAAAAGAAAGACAACCTATTCCGTTCTCTGGCCCAAAAAGGTAGAAAAATCTGTTCGGAAGATAGTTTAGAAGTATCCGGTACCTGCTTTGCCAGAACAAGTATCCTAACACGTTTATTGCAAAGGATATTACGGTGGGAGTCGTAAAACCCACCACAATGACAGCAGAATAGAAAACCTTGTTCCTCGAAGCTCCTGTTCAAGGGAACGCAGAGAGTGAACTGAGATGACGTCCTGACCAGGCTATTTCATAGGCCTTCCCAGCGACAAGAGTTAAGGTAGTTTTCCTGACTAATCCTGTTTTCCGAGGAGTAGGTAGGGATGTAAGCTCCTCGACCACCAGGGTCAAAAGTGACTTAACTGCACTCATCCTTCAGCGCCCTCCCCCGTCACCCTAGCTCTCATTGACTCCTAACGCACTGTTTTTATTCCTCCTCCTCCTCCTCCTCCTCCTCCTCCTCCTCCTCCTCCTCCTCCTTCTTCTTCTTCTTCTTCGACTGGTCTTGTAAATCCTCCCATCGGAATGGTTGAAGATATCTGCAATTATCTGGTATTATTTTTATGATCCTCTGCCGTATCTTTCAATAGTCTCTTTGAACTGTCTAATCTCAAATTTTATGATTTACTAAGCTACCCATCTTCAACTGCTTTGTATTTGGTTTTTCTTCATACGGGTACGGACTAGGCTAGCTCACCTTTACTAATGTTTCGACCAAGCGGAATGTTGTTCGATTTTTCTCTCAAATGTACCCACAGGGCTGAAAGTGTATTCCATAAGTTGGCGATCCTTAATGTGCGTCTTCAAATTTCTAACGAATGTGTGACGGAAAAATCATCAGAGTATGCAAACTACATCACGACGAACAGGCGAGCATTGGGTATGTTCCAAAAATACCCGAAATCGCAAAGACAGGGTGCTTCCTATTTAAAGGATTCGTTACGTAACTTTTAATAAACTAGGTATATTGTCATAAAAAGTTCGAAATTTCTTTAAAGACCAAAGAATTAATTGGGGAAATTCGAGCTAGATATATTAAACTGCAGTGCAAGGAATAAATGCGGAAATATTGATAACCTCCAAAATAGCTAAAAATGTGTCTAGATAGCCCTGGTGTACCATCTCTGACTATTTGTAAAAATACTGTAATATCAGAACAGTATTTACGCAATGATGCAAAGCCTAAAACTCAACAGCGACCAATTACTCCCAAAACGATCGCGAATTCGGGGACATGACTAAATCTTCGTTTACCTTCCTATATATAAAAAAACGGTTTCAGTTCACTTAATACGTGTGACTTTTTGGATTCGGATACCTTGATATATGAAGGCTTTTGTACATTTTCGATTTGTTTCACTACACTTTCTTGTACACCTGACTTTCCTGTACATTTGTTTGACTAAACGGAAATACACATTAACAACTCTGCGGCGGTCATCGTGTGTTCTGGTTTCGAGTGTGCTTGATGTCGTTATTTCTTGGCCTTCGCTTGTAACCTCTCAACATTCTTAGCAATTTGTATGAGCTGACGGAGACCCCCTCCTCAAAAGCCTACTTCACCATATCATCGGGGAACCGACTGCCTCTATTCAATCGGTTCCTCATCGGAATACTATCTCGCTACTTGAGAGGATTCTACTTTGCGTGAGTCTGGAACATTCCTTTTCTGATTCTTCGAATCTGTACATCCTTTCTTTTTGTTGGTAAACACAATTCCCCCATTTAGAGTTAGTTTTTTCTGCATATATTACTGTTTGTAGTTTCTAAATCCACGTTTCCACTACAAATACTACCTCAGAATGTTTCGACGTCATAGTAGACGGGGAAATTTTCCTTTCCTGGCGTACTTTTCATATATGAAAAAAATCTCGACAAAGCTACCTCTACACTCTTCGGCGCATAAAATCCCAGAATGATTATCAAGTGTCCACGACTTTGCCATTTAGGGAAATTAATTAGTATTCTTCAGCTGATAGTTGAATCGGAAAACTAGTTGCTAAGATTAGCCCCGACACTATTCAAAATATAACTTGCAGACTAAAAGGATAAGCGTCAGCGAAAGAATTAAATCAGTGCTGCCGGAATATTAGAACTGTGTTGCATCATTGACGAACAGCTACGGGTTTGGACCACTAGCAAACACGGTGTTTGGTCTTCGGATTCCCTCATTGGCTTCACCGTTTAACCAATTATACTGCCGGGTATCGCCGGGTTATAATCGGGGCAAAAGGGAGGCGGATCAAACGTAAAGCGAAACCCCTACAGTTACATTTTGTCTTGCTATGGACTTATTTAATGAATATGAGACGAAGAAAGGTTTTGGCAATTCTGTTTAGCGTTGCCCTGTATATATTTATCTACATCGTTTTGAAAGGGTCCTCCACCTCACCTGAATTAACTGCAAATTATGTTCGGTGTCAATCCCTCCTGAATTCTGCCCCAAACTTGCACAACGAAAATAGAACTTTTGTCAGAAAATATCCACTTGATTACTTCCTAACCTTTAATGATAATGGAGGAGAAAGCTGCACTGCATTTAAGAGGCAGATGGACTTTCAGTCAGCGTCAATTTCGGATATAGAGAAGGAATTTACGATCGGCTTTGCGATCGCGGTCTTTAAGGATATAAACCAGGTCGCCCGTCTCCTGAGAATAATTTATCGACCACAAAATTTCTACGTCTTCCATGTGGACCGTAAATCCAGCGACGAGTTCTATCAGGCCGTCGTGGAGGTGCAGAAGTGTTTTGGTGAAAATGTTCACGTCGTGCCACGAGAAGAGAGTGTGAACGTGCGTTGGTTCACCTTTACCGTCCTTGAGTTGGAATTAATTTCAGCGAGAAAATTGCTGCAAATGGGACAATGGAAGTATTTCATCAACCTGACGGGTCAAGAATTGCCGCTGAGAACTAATTTGGAGCTGGTATCGGCTCTGAGGGCCCTAAATGGTTCGAATTTGGTCGAGGGAACTGTCAGGTATCGCAACCAAAGGCGAGTACCAAAGGTCGAATTGTCTTTTCCGGTAGGTCAAGGGCACTTTTATGATTCCGCCTGTGTAACTTCTTTTACAGTTGACGCGCTGTGTTTTTGTGTCTTTAAATAGTTACATGTCTAATACTTCCTCTACAAAATGTGAACAACCGTACAGCCCTTAGAGTAATATCTCTGCATGGTGCACCTTTCAGATAAGTATATTCTCTTCAATAATCAAACTTGAAGAAAAGTTCATTGCCTGCCTGAATGTGTCTGGAGATGCCTTTTACGGTAAAGGGGCGTGAAATCGTCCTTTCTGGGCTGCATGTTTGCCGCTGGTCCTCAACTTGCACATACTTTGCACAGTAGATGCTAACACACATTTCAATACACCTCCCCGAGAGATATTTCTCACGCGAGCCTCTGGCTCTACAAAGGTGACGCCTACAGTAAATGGAGAATTCCATCTGACCGGTACAATACGATCGATAGCGAGGTTAAGTGGTCTGACAGGGGGTTCTGCAACTAGATGTGAATTCCGAAAGACACGACCAAGCCCCGGATGCGTAGTGCGACCGCGAGAGCATATAACGCCCCCTGCTACTGGATGCAACCTGTTAGAGACGAGAGACTAGAAATGTCTTAGGAACGAGGCTTGCATGCTCCAAAATTCCGCTCTCGCGAGTTTTTTGATCGTAGCTTATATCCTACAGCAATGGGCACATAAAGGCCAGTTAAACGTAGTCAGCAGCCATTTCAAGATAATGTCCATTTCTAAACCGTTGAAAATTAGAAAAAGGAAAGCAAGATTTCGGCATTTCTCCTGGTATTAGGACAGCCTTTTTCAGAAACAATGTCTAAATTGCTCCCACAAAACAGCATTCTCACATCTCTCACAGCGCTCCAGATCATAGCTGACGAACTAAAAACACCTGAACGAAATGGCAGAACATTTAGCTTATAGGTTAGCTGAACCGGACTTAACATCTGGGCTTTTTGGCTTGGGTTTAAGGAATTCATGGCTAAAACTATGCTGCCGTGCATGACGTTGGAGTCTTTGAAGATGGGAGGGCCAAATAACAACTCGAAACGTCAGACCTCCCATAAAATTCTTCCGATGAACGCAATTTCTTCGTCTTACTACGGCGAAATTAGAAGCGGGGATACTTGTTTCGTCACCTCTGTCAGTATAACATATCGAAAATGTTCTCGTCCATGAAGAAAACTATTTGGAGGACAAAAGTATTTAAATTCAATCCACCAAATTATTTTGGACGTCTTATCAGGTCAGGGCCACCTAAATTACCCTGTTATACGTTAAAACAACATTTCACATGATCTATTTTCAGAAACCTTGTTTTCATAACCATAAGTACATTAGGTGCCATTGCTTTACGCACAGTTGGTATACAGCCAAACCAGTAACTACTCTCCATGGCCCTGAATAAACTCAAATGTACTTTCCAAGACGAATGCTCAATCGGTCGTCAGCCTGTTCGGTAAGGCCAAGAGATTTGATCAGCCAGTTCACTTCGTTATGAAACAATAAACAGATATATTGAGAAACTTTTGGCCCTCAGAGATAACATGACTCATTGGGGTGGTCGCTCCGTTTTTTTCATGCTAGTGTATAATTTAAGGAGTAAAAGACAGTGCGCCACTTGGCTGATACTGTCGCCGCTTAGAAAACGGGTCATATTACTTCGTTTCTCTTCATATTCCGTGTTACCTGCTGATCCCGTACTGACACATGCAGAGGCAGAGAGATTCAGATCTTGCCGCAACTCATTTTCGGTAATGCATCTTCAAAATGAAGAAGTAAAATATTTCAAAATGGCGTTTACTGACGGAACCTGATTTCAGGATGGAATACAGGATTTTTGCTTGGAGTTTGCTGCTCCGACTTTGAGCCCTGGTAGACGGTCGCAGTGGGACATGCGAAGAGCAAAGCATCGTAGCACATTTGACCTTGGGCTAATTTAGGGGAGATTAATGCTGAGATTAAGTTGAAGGTTAAGACAAAGTTCGAGAGTGCGGTTAGAGTTGATGCTTAGGTTGCGGTTAGTAGTAGGGTTAAGACACGGGTATTGGTATCCTTCCTGAAAATTAGCACAAGAAAACTTACGTTACCGAGAGGAGTTCCTATTCCCATGTCACAATGGCAGCCGTGTAGCATCAGATGATCAGTAATGCAAAAGTATCGCCAATGATGTGAGCAAAGACTAATATATTGACCCATGTTTTTTGCCTAAAGTTAACTATGCCTCCATGCCAGCTTCGCAAGTGCTTGGGGGTGGATCTGGATTCAGGTTCGACGTTAAGTAAGGTACGATCTAAAATATTGAACAGCCCACTAGAATGGCTCTCGCTGGGTTGTTTCGATAGGGGCCGGCGCACAGAAGTTGCCTGCAGTCATATCATCATATACCACACACAGGAAAAAATACACAATGGTGAGAATGGAAGTCACTGGAACTAAATTTCTGGACTTTCCATCGTTAATGAGTCTTGCATGCCCCGAAAGGTAGCTTCTGCTGACACTGACATCCACGGGAAATTGTATGTTTTATCATTACTTCACAGGTACTTTCAAATGACTGTATGAACTGAGGGGAAGTGGATGAACTTGCCAAAGACTGACGGTCTGTCTTCACATCAAGAAAGAGAATACTTCTGGCAGCTATTAAGGCTTTGCGATGAGCCAAATCAGAGAGGAATTTTTGATGCTGGGAAAAATTATGGCCAAGAGAGCATACATTATTCGTGGCCGAAATGTTTATGATCAAAAAGGAGGCCTTACCACCTAATTTGGCCATAGTCAGAATTTTGCAAGTTGCCGCTGGAGTTGTCTGTCAAGTTTATTTGAAATCTAATGGAGCTCATAATCCAGTCAGGCGTTAAATCTGTTAGCACATGCACTGTCTGTTGCCAGAGGCAGGGGTAAGCTCTTAAGAGAGTTTGAAGATGTCATAAATACCAAAATGGTGGTGTTTCGAGGTCTCTTTTTAGTCCATTCCCGCAAGAAAGACCACGGTAAGTGACGTGTTGCATAAAACGCGAGGAGAAATTCTGAGATGCGTCTTTGATTAAGAAGTGGGTATTTCGGCATGGACCATCATTCAGATAATTCGCAAGAAATTTCAACCATTCTAGAAGGCTGGTCTTTAAAGGCGCTGTTTTTAGGTCGCTTGAAAAAATAAACACTCGGTGAAAATGACTAGTCAAACGCTGTGAATTTTTCCTCATAAATTCATAAAACATAAGCAGACTTTATACTCAAAAATAGGTTACTGTTTAATTGTAAAAGTTTATTTTAAATTCAGGAATAGATTTGAGGTTAATCTACTCTTGCAATTGTGTTTTGCGTTTATAATATAGTTATATCCATCTTTCATGATTAGAAAACAGTTAAAAACAAGGAAGTATATTTTTCCATAGGGTCTCCATAAAACATGTTACCAACGAGCGGAAAATAAAGGCGGAAGTCCATATCACCTAAATAGTCATTACTATCGAGTGCGCTTTGTACACGGTGAAAGGAGACGCGTCCAAAAGCCGGCATTCTCCTGTGACTGAAGTATCTTGGAGTTATGCTGCAAGCTAGTAAATATCACAGTTTTCCTAGTCGAAAAAACATTCCAGAAATTCGGTTGACTTTCCGTGCTCTAAGCCACTTACTACAGGTCTGCATTACTTCTTACGTCTAGGGAACGGAATGATCGGCGAGTGGTCGTCGACCAATCACTGCCGAGAGGGCATCGAGCCTGTAGCTCACCGATTAGAGCGCCGGCCCTACTAACGTCTAATAAGCAAAGAACACAGATTGAAACTTCTGGTTTCCCAAGTCACACCTGACTGCCGATAGCCTCGCTGGTCTTTGTCGGTAGCCCATCATCTGCGTAATGAGGGCATCTTAATCATCACGAAATGAAGTCAAATCGCAGTCTGATGAAGAGGCCGAAAAACACCAAAAGAAGGGTTTTATGCTCTTCAGAGGTTCCCTGGCTTGTGAGCGCGTTCCCCCACAAGCGCGATATCGACCTGAACAACTGTGCCATCATAACACCTGGTCAGCGGGAGATTGATAATTTAATGAGATTACAGCCAGATATTTGAACGCCACGGAAAGCACGTGAATTGTACTGTGACTTGCCTGCCTGGGAGGGGCAGATGACGTATGTGCACACTAGATATCCAAGGTTGTTAATTTCGACTAATGCGCCAACTGGAGACTTCACAGCAGCAGCAGACTCTGATTTCAGCAGAGGTTGAGGCACCACGAAAACGCTGATTTATTGCCTGAAATGCGGAGGCAGTTTTTGGCGCGCGATTAGAATCATAAGATGGCCCTGTGAAACATGCTGAAATCCTCGCTGACAGTTAACTACTTTAATACAGTGTTCTTACAGTTGATGAGAGGAGGCAGAAAGCGATATGCTTGATACGCGCCTTTCCTTCGAGCGTCGCTGAGGCCAATGAAGAGCTTTAGAACAAAGGACAAAGAGCTAAGTCAGGTATGAGCCCTGAATGACTTTCATTTCGGCCTACCCTCGTTGAACACGCTGTCCACAGCGGTCGTGTTTTTGGACTATTAACCTCCAGCTTGTAATGCAAAGCTGCTGATGATATTGCGGGGTATTGATGGTCCATGAAGTGCGTGCTGTCCACTTTTCCGATAGCCTATTTGCTTGATTGTGGTGACTAAGACTCACCGTTCGTATCTCGTTTCGTAGCCGTACTTGCAGTACACAAGCCCCAGCCTGACCCTTAACCCTAACCTCTAACCCCTAGCCCCTAACCCCAACCCCTAACCTTAATCCCCAACCCCAAATATTAAACCTAACCCCAACCCCTAACCCGTAACCACTTACCCTAAACACCTAACAGGCACGACTACGAAATGAGATCTTGCCGACTCATTACGTCTACCCTAGCCAGAATGCTGCTTTGCTTCCTTCTAGACTGGGGTTTATGCTGTAATTGTTCCCTCTTTATTCGATCGTCTTGCCAAACTCCACTGTCGGGGGCTCATTGAAGGTAAAGTCTGTTTCGTGCTTGCCTAGTGGCCAACAGGTGTCGCTCAAGTCTTCTTCAATATAAGTGAATACATGTACAAGTCAAAACTGCCTCCATAGACAGCTTAGGTCCTGGTCGATTAGTGTGGAACAACACTGTGAATAAAAATCGAAAATTGATAAAGACTAGTTCACTTGACACCCAAGATTCTAGTACAGGCCATAATCTCTGAAAGGCTGAAAGCAATTCAACATCGACTCGTTATATTCACAATTGTCCTGACGCAGTCGCAGAGTTGGAAAGACTGAGGGGGCCGGACCTCAGTAGTTAACGGATCTTTCACTTTATAAACGTAGTTTTCTTACACTCTTCTTCCCTGATTCGACTAACGAAACTAGGAATTAACGGTCAGTGGAAGAAAAAAAAGTCCGCCATAAACTCACTTTGATTTTGTGCATTGCGAGATCGTCGTCCTTACGTCACTGGTAGTTTTTGTACTACACAGAGCGTAAGTGATTTTTCGCGGTTCGTGCCGCTTAAGCAAATAGACGGAAGTCTACTTTCTTATTACCCAAAGAATGGCCAAATAGACATCAAATAACCTTTGTGACACGTTCATCTGGGAATCGTTGCGTCAGAAAATAAAAGTTTCAACTGGCAGGAGCTGATAATCATATTTTCCTCCGCTATATTTGGCTATATCTGCCTATGACAGTTACACCATATATGTTTGATCCCTATTTTCCAATGATTTTTCCTCAAAATAATTATTACTTTAAGACCTGCATTCTACTGTCGATGCTCAGGACGGCAGGGACATGATTCCAGCGTAACTTTCCCTTGATTATACATTCACTTGTGTTTCATTGTCGACAGGTTACGTGGGTTAAAGGTGGAGTACATGCAGCGCTGAAGAGGGAGTTTGTGGAATTCATGCTTTATGATTCAAAGGCCATTGAAATTAGAAAAGCCCTCGAAACGCACGCCTACTACAAATGTCCGGATGAACAGTTCTTTGCTACGCTCGTCTACAATCCCCAGCTCGGCGCGCCTGGAGCCTGCTTGCATGTTCATGAGCCGGATGACGATGGCGTGGACGTAAGCCGCCTTCACCATCTCATCCGCTACAAGAAGTGGTTCGGTAAGAACTGTCCCACGAAAACTCGACGTGGGATTTGTATCCTCGGATCAATGAGCCTTTCAAGTTTGGAGAAGGCGCAGGAACTTATTGCGAACAAATTTCACGAAGACTATTACCCCGAGGCTTACGATTGTCTAGAGCTCCATCTCTTGCAACGGACGTACAACCCACAACCATTCGATACAACACCCTATACCCGACTGTACTGCTCGCAGGAGCACTTGTGACTGGCAGCATGTCAGAGTCAGGTGCCATTCTGTTTATACTTTGCATTTTTAGAGGAAATGATATTTTTGCAAAGGCATTTGCTTTGAAGACACATTAGGTAAGATTTAAATGTGATGATTTGTTTTGAAAAAAAATATAATGGCAAATATTGAAATTGTCTTTTTACTTTGAAAAATATTTATGATTAAGGAAGTATACAGGCAGTTGAACAGCGAAGAATAGCCATAATACAATGGAATGCGTATGCCCGTGTCCGAATCCTGATCCTAACTGCGATTTTAACCCCAAGCGCCAACTCTATGCACCTTTAGAATTTGACGCAGGACCAACCGAACTGGGGAATGTCTTTTCGCATGTTTAGCCTATTTTTGCTTGCTGCTATTTGTGGGCCGCGAATATTCTTAACCTCATTGTCTACCATTCTCAGCACTTTAGCAGTTTCAGAAGCATGCGTAGAGTAAAAGTAAGAAAAGTTGTCGTATTTTGTCGCAAAACAAACAGACGTCTTCGCCTTAATCCATATTTTTATCAGATGACGGATTACCTAGTGAGTTGGCAGATTTGAATAATCTATCTGACCAAATTGTGAAAGATTCGACGGCCTCGGTGCGATTCGGGTACATGGCGCAAGGGAAAGGCTTGAGTTCAGCCAACGCTCTAACCATCTGATCTACGAGACCTTACTGGAAGCCGTGAGTAGTCATCTAGTGGACTCTAATTCGACTGATTAGAAAATCTTGTTTGAGCAATCAGTTTACTGCATCAGAATTGGTGGATTCAGTACGTTGCAGTAGTCAGGGCGGGCGACTAGACTCAATGCAATTAAACTCATGGCTCCCTGTGGGGCCTCGTAACCTAGGCGGTTTGAGCGTTGACTGTGCGTGGCTGCCGAGTTTTTCACAGGCGGGTCTAATGTAATTTCGAATTTCGTAAGGTCATTCTTTTCCATAAATCATTAAATGCAAGTACGATCGTGAGCATAGATTCTATGAACGAATACTAATTTCATTTAAAAAAAGCTGAAAATTGATGAATATGCCTACTCTACTATGTAGTTTTTTGATCGCGGATCTGATAAATGCACTGGAAGACTTTCGGCCAAAGTCGGCATAATTTCCGCGTTCGCGCTTATGCTGTTGTACGTTTTTTGATTTGACACGCGTATTATAGTCCACCTTAAAGTGCTCGAAGTAACTGTGGGCATGTCGCTAAACAGCCAAACGGTTAATTTGATCAAACCGTTCCGCCATGCAATAGTGCGTCTGAATGAAACATAGATACAAGTAGTACACGTTGAAAGTGAGAATATTTTAAGGTTAAGGTATCTTCGCTATGAGTAGAACAGTTGCTGTTTGATCTGCGATCAAAATGAAATGTTATATCGTCCGAATATGTCTTTAACGAGTTACTTAATATGTAAGGTCAAAGTGCCAATCAAAAAAGACATTTCAACTTAAAGTGCTCCCTAATGTTGCGGATTGAGAGTGACTATCACTAAACACCTAGGATTAACGTCGACTGCTGGTAGAAGTGCTCGAGCGCACGAGAGGGATTTGGCAGCGTATACAACAGTCAGCGTGGGCACTGTACCTGCCCTGATAATCAGGAGCAGAATAAATTCGCTCATTTTTGCAGTAAGCGATTCTCCTTGGCTGCCTCGAAATCACTCATATAAGCATTAGCCAGTTACATTTCTGTAGCTTCCTGAAACCAAAGATGTCCAATTTTCAGTACTCCCGAGTCTGCTCTTTCTCACAGACACATGCTCTAATCGGTTTTGACTGTCTCTAATTCTGGAAATACCTATTTGCTCAGTACGATGGCCTTCAAATAGTCCTTTATGTTATTAAGGCTGCTATTAATTAAGCTTAAGGGTTCGAACACAACACCAAAACGTCAGGTGAGAAGATGTCGAGTTTCTACCATCCCACATCATTTTGAATGATCAATCGATGATCCAAAATTCCGTCCCATTGTAATACCAAACGTATTGTACATGGACATGAATGAACACAAGTTCTGTCTTTAATGAAGTTTTTGGCGTGAATCAGCAGTGGCAAACACCTGGAAGACAGTGTGTTTGAGATAAGATTCATGCAGTTATTTCATGTCGGCCGAGATAAAACTACATCGTCAAGACAGACTGGACAACAAGCAGACGCTCTGATATTTTTTCCTTCACACCTGCATTCATCAATCACTTTTGCCGGCCTCTATAAAAAAGATGAAGTTAAATTTTTTAAATAAAGTCATAATAAATATAAGGCACTTCTTCCATCGTCATATGCAGCAGGCTCATCTAGTCATTCCTTTCGACTACATATGCGGTATAGTTTAATTCACGAGGTTCAATAGGCTCCTAAATTCGCTATTCATGACAGGCGGTCATAAGTCCGCCCTAAGTTCAACATATTGCAGATTCCCGAAGTGGAGGTATATGTGACACCGATTCTCGAAGAATTCCCACATCATGATCTTTTGACATTCCACCAAACACACACAGCAATCCCCAGACATGCCATTTGGAAAGGCACCCAATATTCCGCACCTCTCTTGATACATGTAGATTTGGTAAGAAATGGGGATAGAACCCCAGTGGTCGCCTTTCACTAATTTTTGTTCATGCAGAACTTTTTATAGCTATTTGATTCTTTAGTAATTCTCTAAACTCGTATTTACACTTGTTGGTTTAAGTTGGTGTGTATTAACTGCCACGTGGTACACTTCAACCGGTGTGAGTTTCGATACCACTAACTGACCTTTCGCACACTATCTATGTCCTTCCCTGGGCGGCATTAACAGTTAAGTCTGTTCTAGCATGGCTGTTTTGCTTGGCCAGTATCGACCGTTTGCTATCGTGGGATCGTATTACCGATCGTCTTAACCCGCTGACCCCCTCCCCGGTAGTACAGTTGGCCTTACGCAAAATACCAGGAGGGATTACTATTACTCAATTCGAAGCCTGACTCTATCCCTAGAGCAGACCTTAACCTCGACGCCAATTTTAAGATAACCTTTCATCCCAAACATACTCCTGACTATAATCTTAAACTCTAACCTCAACCCTGACCCGAAAGGTAGTCCTTACGCCAGCCCTAACCGTAACTTCTACGGCTGTAAAGTGGCGCAAAGCCCCTAAACAAGGAGGAGTTTCATGAACCCCTGGCTTGTCGCCGTATTTCGCACCTTTCATGGACTGTCTAAGCGAAGAAATGATATCTGAAATAAATGTAAGTTTCGTTTCGAAAGCATTCCTAACGTGGGCCCAGTTTATGGGGATTATTTGTTGTGTCTACGGGCGCACGGATATTCTCCCTGTTCAGAAGCGTGGATAAGAAGCAGGGAATTTGCCCAGCACATGAGCGAGAATGTTGCTTATTTCCAATCGTTCATTAGTGATTACACGACAATTTGATTGTCGCAATCGACGATGTACACCGTGTGCTTCAAATCAAGGTGAAGCAGGCACGGTGACCTACGAGGTCTTAATCGCTCCCTCTCCCCCTCACCTCCTAGGCCCGGTGTTAAGATGGAGTCGAGAGGAACAAAGTTGGAAGAAACGCAGGTGGCAGGCACGGCCGGACTCACACCTAGGCGTTCCACCACACCCTCTGGTCCATGACAAACACTTGATCAGGATTTTATCTAACAACAGCACCACAACGGGTCAGAAAGACAGGGGTGACTGGGCGACCATGCGCAGGACCTGTATATCCAGCAGGAGTGCAAGCGCTCCTACCGGCGGGGAACCAGGGGCTAGAGAACTGCCAACGCACACCAGGCTTTGAGGGTCATGGTCCTCTGAGACGTTTGCATTCCATAAATTAGTGAATATACATATAAGATAGCATTTAAGGACCCAAATCCGTTGACAAGTATTGGGAGAAGACATGCACCGTTTGGCCCTTGCAGACAGAATACCCCAGGTTGTTACACGAAAACTATTATCTTGATGGAAACTCCTTGTAATATGCGCCGGAACCCATGAAATTTAAGCTGACATTCCTGACAAACCGTTAAATGGGCAGTTTAGTTACCCAAGCTGGGTTGGGACTGAAGTACATTCCTATACTGTGACATCCTGGCTTTGAGTAGGCATCTAACTTACCACGTAATTAAATAACATTTGCTGATCGTGCCTTTTCGTACTGGCATCTAATGAGTGTATCACATCGAGAAGATGCTTTCCTAATATATTTCTTGTGCTTTTCGGGTAACCAGCCTTTCCCTACTAGCTACAATAGAGAAAAGGAGGCTGGTTTTATATAAGAAAGGCCTTCTGGTATACGTACACTATGGAAAATTCATCTGTTTTTTCAGCATAAAAGAAAAACAAAAACAAAATACTGTGCGTCAATTTAAGACGGCAGGGATGACGTATGTGTTGCGTAATACTTGACGGTGGTGTTGCGTGCAAAATGTATTCTCTAAGTCCTTTTTAATTTACCACCTTCTATTTTAATATAACATTTGACAAAAAAGGTCGCTTTGTTACCAGACAATTCTCCTATTATAGGTGTGCTACGTAATTAATTTTTCGAATCCCGCACACAAGGACGACAAAACGAAAACCTAATGTCAATGTTTTTCGAGAGGAAAGAGAACCAGTGATAAATTATATAAGGTATCATTTTGCTGAACGAGACGTTTGTGACGGTGGGTCTTTTGGCTTCATAACCTGGCTCCCAATGATTGCCTCCGGTCTGTGTGCAAATTCAACTTCAAATGGTGCGAGAAGGCGGCTGGCTGTCTGCAGGACGTCCTTGGCCCGCGGAATCGACAGCCAGGCCTGCAGCACGAGAAACTGTTTGCGGCAAAGCAGACTGTAGTTGGAGCTTAGTGACTCGCATCTTCCACGCACTCCGTGTTCGCATGTTGACAAAAAGTTGAAATGATAGGAGGTAGGCTCTGACGCAATTACTGACAAAGCCAGTCATACCCTTCACGCATGACAAGCATGATCTGGTTCCAAGCGACATTTATGGGAGGCCTTTGGATCTCAGATAACTGAGAATGCCACAGTAAGAACTAACACTTGCAGTCTAAATGTCATTTCTCGGAAGAAGATGGGCCAACGGTAGGTTGTGTAAACCCACCCCTCAATCAAATTTAACTGTCTTAATATTTTTCATGAGAGGGACTATGCCCAGGTATTCTTAAAGAAATAACTAAGCCAGACGTACGCGTTAAACAACAGAAACCGCCAGAGGTATCGAGAGGTCAGAGCGTTTGTGTTCCAACCGAGGGAAAGTAGATCAATACGCAGCCGGCAATCCTTGCAGCAGGCATAGTATGAATAGTGTCGACATGGCTCTTCTGGAGGAAATAAGTAAGTCACAACGTACGAAATCGAACACGAAAGGAGAGGCAAGTAAATTGAGGCATTTAGGAAATCTAGGTAAGACAAAGGGCTTACGGGAAGGGGAGCGAGAACGTTATGCCAAATAATTTATCAGTAAAAAGTTGAACTGAAACGACTCAGTGCATGCGGTTATATCAAAGTGTTAGGGAGGACGCAATGGAAGACTTCCTGTAGTTATGACTTAATAAATAAAACAGGGTCTTCTAAAGCAAATATAATAGTTATACATGGCAAATGCAGTAGGGTTAAACAATCTAGCCTTGCCGAAGTCTGGTTATCCGGTCAGTTGACAGCCCACCAGTAGGATTTATTCCAATGTTCAGTGCAATGATCTGCTGTACGGATTGATTCCCCAATGTACGTCACACTTTACTTTACCTCTAGGCATGTAGCAGTGAATTATCCGCACTTATCACACATGACCCTGTTCTCAGTTCATTTACCAGGTACACCGAAGGACACACTTCCCACGCAAATAATGCGTGCATGTACTCGCATGCGCGTTTCACTCGTTGTGCAAGCGTTGAAAAGGAGGATCGCATGCATGCTGCTGGAGAAACGCGTGGTGCATTGCGCGGGAATGAGTCATGTGTAGCCGAGAGGAGTTTGCGTGTGAGAATGCAGGAAGAGGTTTTGCGGAAGGGGGGGGGGGTCTGAGCTGGCTTTTGGGTGCGCATGTGAGCGGATAGATCCATGCGATGGCCAAGAGTCCCCACAGGCGGTTTGAACAAGTTAGAGACGAATGGCGAGTGTAGGGTGAAATTGAAGGCACTGGCCTGTAAGGCAAAATACAGAGAGTTCACTAGCCACTGAGCAGTCGCATGCGTGATTTAAATGCACACTGACGAAATGGACCAGTTGGAAGTAGGTCTACGGAGCTGGGTGGGAGTGGTGGACTTTTAGGCGGTGGGATTATCAGTGCTAATGGTTAACGAATTTCCTGGTCCGGAATGTGGGTGAGTAGCGGTGAGACTGCACTGGGTTTGAAGATGCCCAGAGAGGCTCATCCGTTGGCCTAAACAGCAGTTGGAAATATACGTGTTTCCATCGTTACGGCGTAGCGTTAACGGTTTCCCAGTGTTCTTCACCTTGTTTTGAACTTTTTATTAGAGCTGACTCCCGGATTAATGCTAAAGTTCATATGGCAGTGCGTCACAAAAGCTAATCTGTTTTTGGCCTTCCTAGACCTAATGCATCATTCTGTTCGGGTTCTTGAGCGAGGTCTATGGAGTTCCTCATATAGACGCTTTTTCCAACCTTGTCTGTGATCGCGCTTGGCAATATGACCGCAATCGTAAACACATGGGTGGGCGGTCCTCAGGCACCCTCACTACGGGGTCGAGCCATCGTAAGTTTATTCCTCTTGGTATGGAGGACATAGTTCTTTTCACGACCCCGGTGTCTGGAATCGTTTTCTGAATTGTACGGAGCCAGTCAAGGCGGAAACGACCGGGTTTTCTTTTTTAACATTTGTAGGCCACCCATCTCCCTAACCAGTACGGGAACCTTTTCAGAACAACAGACCTGTGCGCTCCGAGGTCTCGTTTAGAGGAGCACGCTTCGGCAATTCCAGCTGCAGCTGTGAAACCCGGCGCAGTGGAAGCTAAAGTCGACTCGAATTTTGGCCAACGATCTTGAGGTCTTCTCTTTTTTACGTGCACACCCCATGTACGCAATCTTGGCCACTAGGATGAGGCGGATTCTACTTCTATTGATCCTATATTCGCCGTGGTCATGATTTGCGCCAAGTGAAACATGACTATCGTCCTCTCCATCCAGGCTGTCTGTCTACAGTTTGGGAATTTAAAAAGAGGGGATCACACCCCACTACGTGACCTCTACCGATGTGGTGTTTATAGCACTGTTACCCACGAAAAGAGGTCGTTTACGTGGGCCTTAACGCTTCCAGTAGGCGCATTTATGTTTCGGATGTTAAGTAGATGTCAATTAAATTGGTAGTGGGGAGTTGAATTCTGACCCCTCCTCACGTACGACAGTGAACGTGATGTTGAATGCGTAGGAGCGCGTACGCAGCCATGATTCAGCCTATTAGTCAGCATGAATAATTTAGATACTGACAGGTTTGCTGTGCCTCGTGGCATCATTCGTCGTGCGGTTTTCTCATAAGCTGCGTCATTTTTTCCATGAGTCCGGATTTCAAAATAATTTTACAGACTTCATCGCGGTATGCCTCACCGGTGGCCGAAGCCACATGCGTGATCTTGGCGTACAAGTCAATCTACATTTCTTGGGATTGGCGGGCCGCGAACCTGGTGTCCGTGGTCTTGCGGGGTTTCTAAAGTCAGCCCCCTGTTTCTGAACGTAGTACCCGCAGAACATTCGTGTTGAGAACGGAGATGTCGCCGTGAACTTCATAAATTTGCCGCTTCACCTACTGTTTGTATTTGTGAACGGTGGTGAGGTCGCTGAGTATCTGGGGAATTCATATTTGATTCCACACCTTTTGGAGCTGATAATCAAACATTTATATGAATTGGAGTTACCGCAGTTGTATATTCCCCATGGGATTGCGTCAACGTGCTATATTTTGCAATTAGGAAGATGCAGCACTCACGTGATTATCTGTTGGATCAAAGCCGGACAATTGAGGTTCCATGAAATCTCCACACGAGGAGGTCGATTAAGGACACCTACGAAGTGCCGCAACCAACGATTTTAAATCCATCACCTCTCCTAGGGCATGGTTATCGAAATTGGCTGAACACTGGTGCGGTTTCCTTTGTTTCTGCAGGAGAGACCATTTCGATAGCGGTCAGAAAAATTCTCCAGTTCACTGAATTCCACGTATCCTTGTCTTTCCGCAGCCCTGCGATTCAGACAACTATTTAGCAGATCTCCCAGCCTCTGCTGCATTGGGCTTCTGCGCCAGAAGCGTGACACAGTTGGCGTCCGTCTTGCCATTGGCAAGCACCGAGTACAGACTTAGGTTTTGGGCACCAGAAGGAAAACTCGTTCGAGGTTATCGTCGGGTGTGTTCTTAGACGACTGACTAGGACTCGGACAAAAATGCTGTTCGAGGTATTGGGAAGGGAACGGCTATATGGTTATCACAGTGTCGACGGGTCCCTGGAATACTTATATTTGGCTGCTGGTGGCATCCTTGAGGTCCTGGAGAGATGATCTTTCTAGCCATGTACCCTGAACAGTAAAGCTATTTTATCCGTGAGGGATTGTGTTGGCGCTAGGTGTCTCCCTGCTGGACAGCTATTGCATTAGTATGATCGTCCTCTGGAGAGAAGGAGTACAATCAAGTTCTAACTTGATGTCCACATAAAGAGATCAGGTAATGAACTTTTCTTATATGCAGACGAGTGGCTAGGGCATCAGAGGAACACGCGAGGCATCGCTTTTCAAGTCTGTTACCTATACGATAACAGGGCTCCTTCGTCATGGCGGAGCACTAACGCATTCGGCTTGAGGATGTTGAACGTCCTGATAGCCGCAAAAGCCCTTATCTCTCCGCGTACGACATATACGCTGCAGAGAGTCACAGCGTCGAAAGACTGCGGCCTTACTGGCGATTGTCCCACATTAATCATCGGTATATTGTGGTTATTACAGCACCACCGGATAGCCCTGCATCTGCATATCTGGAGGATGGCGACATCTTTAAGCTCAGAAACAGTCGCCTTTGTGGCCACATCTGCTGAAACAGAGTAGAGATCTGATCGACAGTAGGCTGTTCTGACGGCCGTGAAGAACTTCGTAATGTCAGCCTGGGCGGTGTATTCTTGGATTTCTTCGAACATGCGAGTCAGCAAAGCATTTGCCGATTGCCTCAGCCTCTCCTGGGAGATGTGTCGGCATCGGCGGCACGCAGCCTTATTTTTATTCGGTCCTGTTGTTGGCATAAGTTAAGCTTACCATAATTTCCTCATTCACCTTGTGACTCACTGCTCCGTCGTTGTTGTCGCACCAGTGATGTCGATGTGTGCGACTAAGGACTCCCAGTGTGCTGACTTGAAAGACACCCCGCATTTCCCTCCACTGGTTCGCACCGCTAGCGTTTGTGGCCCGTTGAAGTTCATGCGATGGCAATCACACAGCCGGCGTTCGGTCGTATCAACCAACACAGTATTTGAATTTGTTGGTGTTGGCATACTCTGCCGTCGCCTGTTCCGCGGCAGCTAAACACTTCTTTCGATGCGGACAGGACGGTGAGCAGTACGGCTGTTTTCATTGCACATCACCCTAGCCATTAGACGGTCACGTCTCCTGAAACCCACAGAGTTCAGTAATTGCGGGTAAAGAGTACAAAACCTGGACCGGCAGGCGAATAATGCGTTGATGAGGGACTTATTCTGTTCTGTGCAGCAACGTATAGCATCAACCAGCTGCCAGCGATCGCACAGCTTCGACTGAATTTCCTGTTTTGAAAATGGATCGACAATATACGAAGTTCGTTTGAACACAAGCAGATGAAAAAATTTATATTGAGTAGCGTCACCAAAATAGGACCAAGAATTCTAGTGCATTGTCTTATCACTACGAAAGTTGTACAAGCAACACTGAAAACCTTCAATCAGGAAGGTGCTAATTGAACATTTTGGGTAAAACGATTAAGTAGTTTTCTTCATATGCCCTACATTTTCGAGTTTCTCGTTTGCTAGGCTATTTTATCCTTTAGACTGGCTGAAATCTGCATTTTGGTGGGGAATGTCCCTTTGGAAGGATCGTAATTGACGGTCACTTAGAGAAAGTCTTCTCAGATCAAAGCGTCATTCATTAGCTGGTAAGTAAGGAAGGGTTGGTCACCCTGTTCGAAATTGTGTGCCAAAATATTTAATGAATTTCAAATACTTAACGCTGCCAAAGTTAGGATGCGCTAAGCTTAACTATAAAGTATACTCTAAAAGCAAGTTTATACGTCGTAGAACACCAGCTCTCCTATGTAACATTGTCTGGAATATTCTCGTAAAACAACACTTAAAAATACAGTAATATTAGCCTAATTAATGTACCCCCACTCTTCTGACTCCGCAAGTATATGAAAAATAAATATCAACGGATTGTTCTGCTCTTCTCCACTGTCCGCAATAGAGATACCTAATATATAGCATGTTCAATTTCGTAACACGAGCAGTGTATACACGTAAACATTTGCGTATTTTATTGGTACACCGAGGTATCGCGCAAAAGACATTTTCACAGTAAGAACCCGGCAAGCACTGCTAAAATTCTCCTTATCAAACAAATTAAGATAATGTGGGGATCCAAAGTTCAAAAAGAAACACAGATTTTCCGGCACACCAGATACCTGTGTAACGACTTTTACACGACGGTTTGTAGACGTAAGCATTGTCTGTTGTCAGTGTATTGCAAGCAGTGTATCGAGTGTTTAAATTAATTTAGAAACGGGGGCACTGGCCCAGTTTGGCTTTTAAGTTAACCATCCCCACTGATTATTCTGTGTGCAGTAACCAATGGCCTCGCTGCTTTGCATTGTTTTTTTCTGTGGGAATTCAAACAGCTGACTTAGAGCAGTTCCAGAAACTCCTAAATGAACTGCTGCAACCAACAGAAGATGTCACAGTCCTAAAGGCTTTTCGTCTTGGTACCCGTACAACCGCCGCTCCACAGACACGACCAAGACCCCTGAAACTTGTCCTAGGTAGCAATGAGCAGACGAAACTAATCCTTTCCAGACGTTTTCGACTGAATCATTCCCATAAAGGAGTGTTTTTTTCAGCCGAACTACTCACCTGCCGAGAGAATGAAACGCCGCGAACTTGTCCTAGAATTAAGAACACGACAAACCAACGGAGAAAAAGACTTGAAAATCTACAACGACCGGATAGTCAAACGACATTCCGCCCCCTCTGGATCAAGCCGATCCGAATGACTGCACAGATATCACGGTAGCCTGTGTCGGGGTTGATAAAAAATCACGCATGAACTCGAAACTCATATTCATGTATACCAACGCGCAAAGTGTACTTTCTAAACTGGATGAACTTCGTATCCTTACCCATGACCTCCACCCAGACGTTATCTCAATAACGGAAACATGGCTTTCCGAACAGATTGATGATAGAGAACTCATGCTCCCTGGATTTCAACTGTTCCGCAGAGACAGACAAAACAGGAGGGGTGGAGGCATAGTAACATTTGTTAAAAATGGCTTATACGTTTCAGAAAAAATTGCCCAATTGACTTGCAGTACGGAAGCGTTGTGGCTGACCATAAGGGCACCGGGCTCTCTAAGCCTCGATATCTTGACAGTATATCGCCCCCCGAGAAATGAACCTGACGCTGATGCCCAACTGCTGGAGGAGCTTAGGCTATTTTCAACGCGACCGACTACTCTCATCGTTGGAGATTTTAATGCACCTCACATAAACTGGAGCTCGGCATCGGTCGACTGCTCTGAAGCAGCATTCGACCAGCAGTTACTGCGTACCTCTGACAATCTGCTTCTAACCCAACACGTAATGTTTCCAACGAGATTTCGAGAGGGCCAGCAAATGAATTGCCTTGATCTGGTGTTCACCAAGTCCTCTGACAATATCGACGTTGTGAATTGCCTCCCCCCCTCGGGTCAGAGTGACCATGTTGTTCTCATGTGGGAATACACCTTATTCTCCCTGCCTGCACAACCACTCGATTCCCGACCCAATATTTGGCGCGGAGATTTCGAACAGATGAGAAGGGATCTAAGTCCTATTGACTGGGCATCCACTCTATCCGGCGATGTCGAAGAGGTTTGGTGTCAGTTCAAGGAGTTAGTCCACAACCTCATCTCCAACCATTGCACAATCATGCACAGAAGACTAACAAATAGACCCCGCTGGCTGACTCCGTCCTTAAAGAAGGAGGTTAACAAGAAGAGGGAGCTGTGGAAAAGATCCCAGACTGACCGGACGCCAGAATCCCTAAGCAGTTATAAGTCACAGAGAAATCGGGTCAAAGTTCTCATGGCTAGAGATCGGAAAGCCTTTGAAAAGGATCTTCTCAACCGTGCCAGGGTTAATCCAAAAGTCCTCTGCAGCTACATAAGACAGAGCACGCGGAACAATGACCCCATCCCGCTGCTGCGAACAACCGAGGGAATGGAAATCTCCGATGACAAGGATAAGGCTTAACACCTCTCTCAGTTTTTCCGGTCCGTCGTGACAAGTGAACCTGATTTTCTCTCCCCCATTTGTGAAGACGAAGAAAAGCCTACCCTTGAAGCCGTATTCTTCACCGAAGCAATTGTTCGGAACGAGTTACTTAATCTGAAAGAATCGACCTCCCCAGGCCCTGATGCAATCCCGGCCAAGCTGCTGAAGGAGCTAGCTCCCGAAATGTCCAAGCCATTAGCCTTGATCTTCCAAACATCATTTCTTACTGGATGCCTGCCCTCTGACTGGAAGACCGCTACCATCACTCCGCTTTTTAAGAGCGGAAGTCGTGCGTCTGCGAATAACTACAGGCCAGTGAGTCTTACCTATATCTGTTGCAAAATCATGGAGAAGATCATTAAGAAGGCCTTGATGCAGTTCCTCGAGCAGCACCACCTCCTCTCTGATGCATAACACGGCTTTCGAAGTGGTAGATTCTGCCTCACGAATCTGCTCTTTATGCTCGAACGCTGGACCAAAGCAGGCGATAAAGGTAGTGTGGTGCACGCCATCTACATCGACTTTAAAAAGGCCTTCGACAGCGTTCCTCACGAACGTCTCTTGCACAAACTGCGCAACGCTGGAATTTGTGGACGCCTTCTTGTATGGATCCAGAGCTTTTTGGCTGGATGGTTCCAAAGAGTGCAGGTCGGGCGTCAACAGTCCTCAGAGGTAAGCGTGGTGAGTGGCATCCCACAGGGCTCAGTCCTAGGTCCCACGTTATTCCTCGTTTTCATAAATGACTGTGTCAAGGACTTAGACTGTGATGCCATCCTGTTTGCCGACGACATAAAATTGTGGAAAGTTATTCACAATGCGGCAGACGCAGACCACCTGCAAGCAACCTTGAACAGACTCGAAGACTGGTCGAAGCGCTGGCTTATGCCCTTTAATATAAGCAAGTGCAACTTTCTTCAACTAGGCAGCTTCAGAACCTCCAGCAACAGGACTTACTTTCTAGAGGGCACACCACTGCAACAGGTTGACAGTCAGAAAGACTTGGGTGTATGGATTACATCTTCACTCAAACCAACACTGCACTGCGCGAAGGCGGCTAAATCGACTATGGCTACACTGCAAATCATTAAGCGAGCATTTATGGGATTTGATCCAGACAGCTTTTCAAAAGTATTTGGCACCTACGTGAGGCCTCATCTAGAATACGTCATACAGGCGTGGAGACCTTGGACTGCCAAGGACTATACTGTTTTGGAGAAGGTCCAGAGACGGGCGACCAAAATGACACAAGGTCTGGGAGCGCTGTCTTAAGAATCTCGAATGTCAACTCTCAACCTGTTTTCACTTTCCTACAGGCAATTACGTGGTGACCTTATACTTGAATTTCGCATTTTCAACGGCCTAGACTGTTGTTTAGATCCCACTGATTATTTCACACAAGCTAACACGCCCAATTTGCGCGGTCATCCCCTAAAACTACGCGCCGGGAAAGCAAGGATCAATGGAAGAAAGTTCTTTTTCAGTCACAGATATATAAGTGGAGTCTTTCGCAGGGATACCTGAGAGGATTAAGGGCTTTCCTGAGATTCGGACTCTGGCACAATCTGTCGAGTACTCCAGGTCATCGAGTTTAACCTGAAAATGTGGCCCCTTAAGACCTGAATATGTATATTTGCTTCCGCTTTTCGGACTAGTCTCTAATTTGCGCTTTAATTACATCTAATTAGCCTGCAATACAGCCAACTTTTGTTCTTAGTGCTTTGCGTTTTAGGCCTTTCTCAGGCCGAGCGTTGCCGGTTATCAAAAGGGAGTTTCAGTGAATTGTTCTGCCTCAAGTAATATAGATAAACACAGTTGATGTTAACCTGCCTCTGTGTATCGCGGTATTACTTGTTCATAGTAACATAGCATGGAACCCTGAAACTAGACAGTTTTCGCAGCAGATGGCTGGTATGAAATCTTTTTTGTGTAATGTCGATTTGCTTTAAAGGGTGTTTTTTAAATGAAATTTACTGTACAGCTTAGCATTTAATAAATAATGTCCGGTAAACAGTTTTTCATCGTAAGAAGTATATTTGATCTTTACCGTTCACAAATGCTAAAACATTTTTGAAGTCAATCTGTGGTAATAACCCGATCTTGTTGTTTAGTATAACACCTGGAACCCCAATGAGTGACATAGAAAAACTCTGACAAATTTCAAGGACGAACCTTGAACATTAATGAAATCAGTATGACACTGAAGACCGCAACAATTAATTTCTGCTTCCTTGTGACAGGCGTAAAACGTTAATTCCCAAGCACCAATTAGATGCACATGGTTAACATTTGTGAGTAAACCAGAAGACAAACGCCTTCAATCCTCCAACGTAAACGAATTGTAGTACCGTAACTTCATTACTTAGTATGCCGCCACATGATGAATGGGCCTGCAGCTATGAAGCGAGTTACTAAAAGGTAGTTTTATAGTAAGAACCTTCTAGTTTCGTGTCCGTTCATGTAAAATAAATAAGGAAGAAGACTACATGAGAATCAGAGCAATTGGTTTGTTATTCTGAGCTTTGTAACTCCTACAGGAGCTCATCCTCCGAGGTGACAGCAACAACAGAACTAGCGACAGTTAAATCGGGTATCAGCTAATCGTTTTCAGAGACGTGGGTTTAGGTTTGACTATGCAAGGCTACGTATGCCATCGCCAAGTCGATAAATCGATTTACTGAGTTCTCATCTGAGGCCCAGACTCCAGTCAATTCTCGGCTTGTCTTGCTTCCAGCGCGGCCTATTATTCCTGGAGGGAGTAAAGTTGAACTTGTGACCCGTTTCGGGCAGCTTATTGCGTATTTCGTCATTTTTTCGGACAGACGGCCTACGTTGGCGGATGTGCAGTCGGAGCATGCATCCAGTCTGTGTAGTCACAAGGATGGTTTGGCAAGGATGCGACACAGTACACCAGACTGCTCATTGGGATGTACCCTATCCTCGATTTCCATGGCACTGCTGTGTATGGTAGTTTTGGGTCGGTGTGTAGTTCCGCCAGTTAATTCGGCAGCAAAGTTCTCCGTTGCTTCCGAAACGTCCTTACCATACGTCAGTGTATGCCATATCTTTGGCAATATTTCTATTTTAGTCCTTCAGGGATGAACACGTAGAGGTTGGTGCATAAAAAACTTGTGATAGCCATCCTGCATAAAATTGTTTGTGGAGTTATCAGACCTCACGTGTTTTTTCTTCTGAGTTACTGCTGTCAGTCTGAATCCGTTTGAAGAGAGTCCTCACACTACTTCGTTGTTGAGCCGACGGATGGTTGTTTGAAAACTGCTCGGTTGTTTGGTGTTTGACGTTAGGACTTTGCCTGACGAACACTTCAATCCTCCTGTTTCACTTTCCCCATAAATTGTATGTGAGGAATGATTGAGTTGAGCGGGTTACCTCCTATAGGACTAGTACTGCCAATAAATTAGAAACCGAGGAGACCCTTGGAGTCCACAGCAAGGATAGAGTACGAGCAGTGTCATGAAGTCCCAATTTTCAGAAAGTTTCGAGTCTCATCGTCTGCCTTTTCCATTATCTTGAACGAAACGTTGAGCGCCAAATTCGGTGGGATGGGTGAGAATACCGATGTCGCGTCGAAACAGACCATGCTTTCGTCTGGTTTTATCCTCAGAGTTCTACGAAGAAACGAGAGGCTAGTCAGACTGAGGGAGTCAAAATGTCCTAAAGAAACTTCCATCCGCTTCGCCTATTTAAAGGTAGGGTGATTGACCTTGGCGGGACATTCTGTTCCTAGACTTTTGCAGAACATATAATCAGGCCAAAGCAGTGTCAGTTATATTCATTGGGCGTAATTTATTCCCTATAATGAAATTAAGGCACTAGAATTATCTGAGCATATTTTCCGACCATTTTGATACTGTTTTGACTTATGCGTTTTGTACCGGTCTGAAAAGTTCTCTGTCACCAACAAAGGCCTTCATTACTGCGCTTTACCTTTCTCAGCGGCAGTTGCTTATCCCTAATTAAGTGGCAGAAGGATTGTTTTGTCGTCCATCCTGACTTCTTTTGTAGGTTTTGACTCTTTCGGCGAGATTCAATGAGTTGGTCTGTGCGTCATCAGCAAAGAGATCACGTCTTGTCAAAGAGAGCGTTTCTCGTTGCTCGGTTCTCCGGGCACAACTTCTAGGTTTGCAACGATGTCAACGAGGTCGACATATGCGGTATTGTAACAAGCTATTGGGATGCGAGGAAGTATTTTTCTCAAAGCATGTACTGGGACCGTGGAAAAACCTACCGAAGCGATTTTAAGGTTTCAGTCGGCAGAGGCATTCCGACATCGCCTTGACAGACAGATGCTGCAACAGCAAACATGCAGTGTAAAATAGCGACCTTCAAGCAAACGTACTTATGTGAATCTAAGTCTGTTTCCGTCTGAGGCTCTAATTTCCTTACATTATCGCAAGTTGTCCGGATTTGTTTGCGGCAAATAGGGAATTTTAAACATTGTTTGTTCGTTCCCCTCAATATACTGAAGTAAATTGAGCCCAAGCATCATGTTATGGCAAGCGTCTTTGCTGCTCAAATAACTGCGAACCTCTTTCGAGCCTCCCATGTTTGGTGGTTTCGTTTTACTCAGGTTTCGTTACAGGTCGCAGTATGAAGTAGTGCATCGTATTCTGTGTGCGAAATATCCTTGAAACTACACAGGTCAGACTGAACCCATGCTCAAACTGCGCATACAAGGATATAGGCTGGCTGTGCAGTATTACACCGAATTACTGCAAGTAGCTGCTTATACCTTTGTGATGGGTCAGAAGTTAAAGTTTGCATCCGCCAGGATAATACCCCTTGCTGGATGCAAGACAAATAGAGAATTAGTTGGGGTCTGAGTCTTGTATGATAACCCATTCAATCAATGTATCGATCTGACGATAGCACACAGATCCCTGCACAGTCACATCTAGACTCTTGCCGCTGACGCTAGTCGGTTGGCACCCCATATAACTGTTGTATGTTGTCTTGTTGCTGTCACCTATAATGATGGGCTCCTGCCGATGCTCTATAGTTCAGAATAATAAACAAACTTCTACGGTGCTCAACCAGTCTTCTTCCTCATTATTCACACCTACCTGGGGAACTCAAGATTCGCCTCCATTCGTAAATTAACAGTATGTATCAGAATCCTTTCTGTTGCCAACTGTACGTCTTATTCTTCTCTTCCTTAAGGTCATGCGCCTGAAGAAAAATAATCTTTGCCAATATCATATGGAAATTAGCTGAGCTGGGTGACATATAAATTAAAAAAGCCTGTTTTAAACGTGCATATAAAGTTGAAATCATCAGTTATGGTCATCAAAACCAGCCAATTTGTCCACATTAGACACAGTCGCGAGGAGGGCATGCAAGTTTGCAAAAGACTTGATCTTCACATTGTCGGAGTTGGTCAGTAATCATCCCACGAC